TAGTGGTAAAGGTAGTGATAGTGGTAGTGGTAGTGGTAGTGGTAGTGGTAGTGGTAAAGGTAGTGATAGTGGTAGTGGTAGTGGTAGTGATAGTGGTGGTGATGGTGGTAGTGATAGTGATAGTGGTAGTGATAGTGGTAGTGATAGTGGTAGTGATAGTGGTAAAGGTAGTGATAGTGGTAGTGGTGGTGATGGTGATAATGGTAGTGATCGTGCTAGTGGCAGCGGCGGCAGCAGTAACAGGAGCAAGTAGTAGTAGTTTAGTAGTAGAAAGTAATATTACATTAGTAGTAGTGGGTAGTGGAGCAGCAATCCATAACCCGTCGTCTCGTTTCAGGGCTTCCACAAACCGAAAGCGTACATCGCCGCGCAGGGCCCCCTGGTGTCGACGTTTGCGGACTTCTGGCAGATGATCTGGGAGCAGCGAACCTACGTGATCGTCATGATCACCAACCTACTCGAGCGCGGACGGGTACGACCCTCGCTAGCGCCCTCTATACTCCCTCTATACACTGCGCTCTGTGATCTGGTTTTTTTTTCGTGCACTGAATTTTAGTCGGGCAGGGGTGAATTCCAGGGTGATGTTTTTTTTATACTAAACTCTTGACGTGAACATTGCTAGTGATATTGTGATATTTACTAGCTTGATTTATCTCATTCCAATTAATTAATTAATCAAGGGATTCCAGCATACATGGGATATGTACTGCCCAAAGGGGGGGGCTACCCTAAACTGCACATTATCGCATTGTTAATTATTGCAATTAATTAATTAATTAATCATCGTTAATTGCCGGCGTGTGGTTGCAGCGGAAATGCGACATGTACTGGCCGAAGGAAAGCTACCTAAAGCTGTGCGTTATCGCATCGGTAATTGATTAATTAATCATCGTTAATTGCTGGCGCATCATTTCAGCGGAAATGTGACATGTACTGGCCGAAGGAGGGTTCGGAGACGTACGGCATGCTGCAAGTGAAGCTACTCAGTGAAATGGCAATGGCTAGCTACACCGTACGCATGTTCACACTGAAGAACCTCAAAGTTAAGAAGGTATGCATGTTCACACTGAACAACCTCAAAGTTAAGAAGGTATGCATGTTCACACTGAACAACCTCAAAGTTAAGAAGGGTATGCATGTTCACCACTGAACAACCTCAAAGTAAGAAGGTATGCATGTTCACACTGAGAACCTCAAAGGTTAAGAATGTATGCCATGTTCACACTGAAGAACGCTAAAGTTAAGAATGTATGCATGTTCACACTGAAGAACCTCAAAGTTAAGAAGGTATGCATGTTCACACTGAACAACCTCAAAGTTAAGAAGGTATGCATGTTCACACTGAACAACCTCAAAGTTAAGAAGGTATGAGGTGCTGTTGATAGTGAGAGGTGGTAGTGAGAGTTAGGGGTGTAGTAGTGAGGCTAGTAAAAGGTATTGCATGGCGGTACAGAGGGGAAGGTTGGAATCTTGAGAGAGGGAGCAGTGTAAAGTTGTAATTTGTAAATGTAAAAATAGCAGAGAGAGAGTGTGTGTGTGAGCGAGAGAGAGAGAAAGAGAGAGAGAGAGAGAGAGATCTAGAGACAGAGAGAGAGAGCGCGAGAGAGAGAGTGAGAGATCTAGAGACAGAGAGAGAGAGCAAGAGGGAGAGACAGAGATAGCGTGCGCACATGCGTGTGAGCTGTAATTAAGCGAGTACTCGAGGCGGCTATTGCTTTCAGAAGCATTCGTCAGAGAGAGTCATCTACCAGTACCACTTCACGGACTGGCCGGACCACGGCGTGCCGGAGTACACCCTGCCGGCCCTCACCTACGTGCGCAAGTCAGCCGCCATTAACCCAGACTCCGCAGGACCCATCGTCGTCCACTGCAGGTAGTCTTACACCTTGTTAGCACACGTGTAGCGCATATGTACTATGTAGCGTACATGTACATGTATACTACGGAGTATATGTATGTACATGTGTGTTGTACAGAGTATGTGTGCGTACCTGTACATGTACATTTAAATGTACTTCAAAGCATACATGTACAGACAGGTACATGTACTCTGTAGCATACGTGTACATGAACATACATATACTCCATAGCATACATGTCTTGTACATGTACATGTACATAATTATACTCCATAACATACATGTAGCATACATGTACCTTTACATGTACTTATATTATGTAATCCGTAGCGTACATGTATTGTACATGTACATGTACATGTACGTATACATACATATACTTCGTAGAATATATACATGTAGCATACATTTAGCACATGTGTACTATGTAGTATACATGTATTGTACATGTACATACATATACTCCCTAGCATACATGTAGCATATATTTGGTGCACATTTACTTTTACATGTACTTGTATGTAATCCATAGCATACATGTACATATACGAACATGTTCTCTGTAGCATACATTTAGCATACATACACATGTAATGTACACTCCATAGCTTACATGTAGAGTGCATATACATCTACATGTAGCGTATAGCCTTCATGCTTCTACGTAAATCCTTGCACGTTATCCTTCATGCTTCTACATAAATCCCTGTCACAGGCATGATCCAATGTCACTGGTAGCCCCGTACCTAATCCCTTGTCATGTGTCTGCGTCAATGCCCCCAACACTGGCAACTAAGCCCCTGTCACATACATGCTGTTATGTTCCGACCCTGTACTATAAACTTAGTAGCCTGCATGCAGTATATAATTCTCTGCTAGCCCAGTATCTCAACCGCTGTCAGATATGTATTTCTAGATTCCTAACCCATAACTGACAGTGACTACCATAGTAGGGGTTCTAAGCTCCCAAAAAGAGGTAAAGTGTTCACTTTTTGATAAAAGCA